AATACAGGGGTTGCTAAAAAAGCAGAGTTCAAGAAACAGAGTTGATTGTGTGAAAAATCTTCAAGTAGTTATGCATAAACATTCTAAATTGCTAAACAGAGCACCCACTCTGCAATCCACATAAATTAGGTATAAACATGCATTCCACCACCCTGTTTTAGTGAAAGATCACACTATTTAATTTGTCCCCTGCATTGCTAAACAGAGCACCTACTCTGTCGCTACCCTGTTTTAGTAAAGGAGCGCACTATTTAATTTGTCCCTGCATTGCTAAACAGAGCACCTACTCTGCCGCCGCCCTGTTTTAGTAAAGAAGCGCACTATTTAATTTATCCGGCATTGCTAAACAGAGCACCTACTCTGCGGCCACTCTGTTTTAGTGGAGGGACGCGCTTGTTTACATTCATTAATTAATTGACAAGGACTTCACCATCGATTGATGGAGATCAAATTAAATGGTTATTCATCATGTACCTTTATCCTCGGAGGCTAAAGTAGATCATACCCCTTTTGTTTTATCGCATGAATCTTTTGTCTCCGACTAACGCAATTTAAATAAAATTTACATATTCAAATAAAACGTATTTGTATATGTGTAATATTTACGCTTCATGTAGATTTGGACGAACTCATATATATAATCAATGGATATTAAACTTTTTGTTAACGTACTGTATAAAATAAGTTTGTAAATATTTTGTGCATGCATCGATCGATTGTTGTCACGTTAACTTAATATTTTCCTTTCGAAGAAATTATAGAAATATTAGTGGTAAATAAAAACATGAAGTGTCAATATATATATAGGAACGATAATCTTTTGAATATTAACAAAAAAATTCAAGACAGTTGCAATAAAATAAATTATGAAATTTTCCATTCACAGTATTCCGTGTCCGTATTAGAGTTCAATTAAGTTTGGTTTCTTTGCGTCACAAAACTCCACGATGGGGTAAAACGTTCCCAATAAAGACAATTCTAGAGTTCGATTAAGTTTGGATTAATCTTTGCGTCACAAAGTTCCACATTGAGGTAAAACACTCCCAACAAAAACAAATCTAGAGTTCGATTAAGTCTGATTTTTTTGCGTCACAAAGTTCCACATTAGAATAAAGCTCCAACAAAGACACTTCACGTCACGAAGTTTCACTTTGAAGTAAAATACTCCCAACAAAGACAATTCTGATCCGTATCCAAAAAGATTTGAACTCGAAACGTTTATTAAGGATAAAAAAGGATCCGTTATAATACATCATACTTTCATTTCTTGTTTTTGGCTCTTGTTCACGGAACCTTAATTATTACTATATATTAATTTAATATTGTTCATAAACATAAAATTCTGAATATGCTTATGTCTGAATATTATTTTGTGTGCATGTAAGTGTAGTGTACGTGTACGTTAGGTTTTGGAACATAGAATTTTTCGTTTATTTCGTAGAAAAACTGCGTTATTATTTAATTTCCTATATGAAATTAATATATATCATTTATTACAAATTGTTTCTAAAATAGATAATAAATAAAGTGAATAATATACATTTTATTCACGAATACGAATCAGATTCTATATAAAGTAATTATTTTAAAGCTTTATCTACATATATATGCTCTTAGTCTTTGACCTAGTTTTTAATTATATGAAGTGACATACTATATATTAGCAACATTATTGCAAGACGATTACTTTTTTTTTCATATATTAAGAAAAGACGTTTTTTTTTCTATATTTTACTTTTAGTATTAATTACTTATTTCTCAAATCATTTTATTTTAAAACCTAATATTAAACATTAATTAATTGGGATCATCCTGCACTTGGAAGAAGAAGTAGAAAAAAGAATAAATATAGTGATAACTTGATTCTTCATTGCCGTGGTAAATAAGAAAAAAAATTGAATTTAATTCTTCGTTTTCTACAAAAAGCTTTACAAACAAATTAAAAATAGGAGTAAATTTGTGATATGCTCACTAAAAAAAACACTCAAAACATGAGTGAACGACGGGAATCGAACCCGCGCATGGTGGATTCACAATGTACTGCCTTAAACCACTAGGTTGTAACCGCTCCTCTCCTACTTACATTCCATTTTTACACTATTTAAATTCGAAAATAAAAGATTGTTATCAATTAATTATATCAATTATTATTTTCTTAAATAAACTCATAAAGATCAAATATAACAAGTATAAAGTGAACGGAAGGAGTATTACAAGACCCCCTAAAAAAGGTTCCAATCACTAATGATGTATAGGAGTACTATTCTTTTACTCTGGACAAAAAAAGCCAATGATGTATGAAAAATTAGATTACTATTCTTTTAATTAATTAAGGAGCTACGATATGTTGATCGAAATATCACGTTTTTTTTTTGAAACACAAATTCAGATTTAATCGAATCTTAACCTAGAATGTAACGCGATACCGGGTGGGACCAAAGAACAAAATTTTACCAGGATCGTAACGTAACTATACTCCATCTGATGCAATTGTTATTTCAATATCAATAGAACTTTAATTTTTAAAACAAAGCTTTTTTAACCAATCAATATAATTGCTAACATTCGATATTTTATCTAAAAGAAGAGAGAAAAAAAAGTTACTCGGGCACAAAGTTCAAGAAAAATGAACATCTTGAGGTCTAAAATAAGCTAAAGAAATTCTTGTCATGACTTTAAATTAATCATCCAATAGTTTAAAGTGATGACATAGTGTTATTATAGTACGGACTATATTACTAAATTTTTATAAAAGATATATCGTGTGTTATTATTTTGAAATTAACTAAAAAAAAAAGATAATCCGTAGATGAAGTTAAACATAGTGATGAGAACAAAACTATCAAAATCTTTATTCAAAAAATATATTAAAGATCTTAAATGAGAATCCAAATAAGCTTATTTTTCTTCTTGACATGATTAATTAATTACCATTTTCTTTTACACCTCTTAGTTATAAAATAAAATAATCATGAATTAGGTCAAATTAATTATGATCAATCGTACACGATAGAAAATAGGTAGATTAACATGCAAAAATTATATTGCACGTGATCATAAACTAAATTTGGAAACTATATAATAGGTAACTAATTAAAAAATCATGCAATATATATTTTTCAAGTTAATTTCAACAACATAAAATTATACCATCTTTGAATATTTCTTTTCTAACTAACGTACAATTTCAACTTTCCACTACTAACCAAACGTATTTACCATTTTTATTATGCATGAGAATTTGGTGGAACCCATCGTCGATTGACACCGCGCCTTAAGTACAGTGGCGGAGCCAGAAATTTCACAAAGGGTGTCCAGAAATAGCAGCTTGTTAAGTTAAGGATGTCCAAAATATGTTATTTAATCATTTAGTGTATCATTTTACTTGTATATATGGTATTTTTTTCCGACGAAAGAGACACCCTTACCACCATGTGGCTACGCCACTGCTTAAGTAAGCCGTGTACATTTTAAATATTTGTATAGGTCCTCATTGTATCATTTGACGGGAAGTGAAAAGTCGTACCTAACTTTATATGTTTGTCGATGAGTTCCGCATGAGAATTTTAGTGGTACATATTAATGTAATGGATGTTTTTTTTTTTTTGGTTTTTTGTTCTTTGATCTCAACAACGTCAATAATATAGAGAATTACCCACTTTCGAGTCAATCTCACACCGTAACAGAAAACCAATTTTTAGCGTCAATAAATGTACATTAATAAAGAGTGTTAAAATTTTTACCGATATTAGTTAATTGTCATTAATTTTAATGTTACTATAGGCTTTAAGGTCATTTACAACGAGCATTAATTACCACTAAAAATATATTTTTAACGAAAATTAAGCTATTGCCACTAAAAATAAATTTATAGTGAAAATTAAGCTATTGCGTTAATTATTGTCACTAAAGTTGGTGTAGTGTCATCTAATTCACTGGAAGCTGGAAACAAAAATGAGAGAAATTTTTAATTCTCAATGTATATTTTATCGGTGAAAGTTGTAATATAGTAATCTATTTGATTTATTACAAAACCGATTTATTAATACTAATGATCAGATTGTTCGAATATTTTCTCCTAAAGTAGCTGCTATTATTTTCTAGGGATAAAGGTCTGAAAAATATCTCAACTTTGGTCGGATTTACTGTTGCGATACTAAACTTTCATAAGGACCTATTACCTCCCTAGACTATTTAATACCATATTTTTTACCCCCTGAACTATTTAATACCGTATTTTTTACCCCCTGAACTATTTAATAGTGTATTTTAAAGGTATATAAATGTGCCCATGTGGACACATTACTATATATAATTTTGCATTATTTTTTATGTCCACGTGGGCAAATATGTATGTTTAAAATACGGTATTAAATAGTAGGGAGGTAATAGGTCCTCATGAAAGTTTAGTAAATCCGACCAAAGTTGAGGTATTTTTCAAACCCTTATCCCTATTTTCTATTTAGCTTTAGTGGCCACCAAAAAAGAGCCTAATTTTTTTTTTCAATTGTAGAAGTGAGAGATACATGCTGCCACGTGGATTTTATTTTAAAATTATTTCTTATCCCTTTAAATTCATAATAATCATCCTTTTTTGGGATAACTTATAAACCTTTTTTTTAGTTTTAATTTGAACAGACATATGTCAACATTGTATTTTATTCAGGTTATGTCAATATCAGACTTAGTTATTACAAAACCTTCATACTTTTTTTTCTTTGCTTTTTTTGGGGATAATGTCCACTCAAGTAGTAGGGACAAAGAATCCATTTTTTTGCTTGAGGCACACCTCGGATTAATTCCACCAAATACCTGCTACCTCCCAATAACACATATACTATGAACCTTTGTCCACTAGGCTTGAGCAGATGAAAAGAAATCACTTAATATTATTACAAGCACAAAAGTATCAATTAGTCTGATGACAACTTGAATAAACTTTGCAAGGTACAAGAATCAAGATGATTTATACAATTCCACCTTATACTAAAGACACACAAAAAAAAAAAAACTAATGAAGTGATGAGTTGTATCAGAAGTACATAATAGTTTTGATGTAAAGCTGCTACAGAACACCAAGCAGATGTTTAAGAATTGAAATTGTGTTAATGCCATTACTACAAGTTGTGTGAACATGGTTGTAGCTCATTGTTTTTAGCCCTTCTTGGGCATTGCTGCAAGCCTAGTGTACATCCTTGCCATTGACTGGTATCCTCTGATATCACCGGATCGAAGAAGATTGCCTGTGTGATTGAAAAAAATCGATGTAATTAGTCTATTTGACGATCTCAAAAGGGGGGACGAGGATGAAAAATATGTGAGGAAAGAAGCACTTATCATCTAAACAAAATTCGAACCACATCAAAAACCTGACCCCCACACCTTGTTTCCCCTCGTCCTTCAATATCTTTTAGCCCCGGAAAACATTTTCAAAAGAGTTCTAGGACTGGTGGAAAGGGATCGAAGAGAATGTAGTTTATTCAAGGCTTAAACAGAACTAGTTAGAAACACCTATTTTTACTGGTAGTCACTTGATTGATGTTCTCTTCTCTCGCCTGTAAACCATAGGGAACATCAGCAACAGATTTTGCCAAAAGCAAATCTACTTCCTTAACTTTATTCTCCCGACTGTAGGAGTAATTTTTCTTTCTCACTCATATTTGCACTTCTCTCTCCCTTGCTGACACTTGCTCTCTCAATCTTTGGATTGGATCTACTGTACGCTGCACACCCCCTCTAGTGGGACCCAAGTCTTCGCAAATATGGTTTAAATCTCTAATACAAGTTTCGAGATACCTAGATGGTGCTAATGTTCTCATATTTTCTTGAATATTAACAAGGAATTGTCAAGGGGGGGACCTAAGAGCTTAGAATGAAAATGGATCATCCGCAATCATCAAATCAAAGAAAACACAGCCTCCGAAAACATCACATAATACCTGAGTCACAGTTTAGCGGGCTATCAGCTTCAGGATGAGCCATCAAAGCAATTATAGCTCGACAAACAGACTGGAGTGTCCATGCTGGGCTCCATGCATTCTTCAAAATATCAAGGCAAATCTCTCCGGTCTGAGTACGAAAAAAGAAAAAGTTAAATGAAAAATGAAAAGAGAGATTAGTAAGTAACAACTCATTTTTGATTAGTGAGTAACAATTAACTCCGTAACAATTTGGGAGATTCGGTGTGTCTCATTTGAAATTCGAGTTCTAAAACATTTAAAGAGAGCGAAGACACAGATTTGGCGTGTCTCATTTGAAAATTCGCCCCCTGTCCTAGTTTTGGAGCCCAGATAATTACAATGTTCAAACAAAAGATTAACCTTTACATACACAAGTACAAGACTACGACGGGGGAAATGTAAAAGGTATTCCACTAGAAGTTCACACAATTACTAATAACATAAATTCATGAGTTTTAACATAAAGAACATGCTTCCTACATTCAGTACAACAATTGCATATAATATTGTAATTAATGCAATTTACAACAAATAGTAAACAACTAATCTCAAACTTAATCAGTTATAACAAAAAAAAGCTAATCTCAAACTCAACTTATGCACAAAGTATAGCAGGTCCCAGCCTATAAAACATGAAGGTTGCAGTAGGTTGACATTCTTAGTATGATGAATCCACTGAGTGCTGACCTAGGATAGAGCGTAATGGACATTGAGGACTCAGAAGCTGATCTAAAGAGTTTAGGATTAGAAAATAATTAATTGGTTGGCTGGTTGATTGGTAGTCGGTAAACTAATTCGACAATACAATGGCCAAATTAACGTTGCACGTGAGTCTAAAATATGTCTCAATGAAGCATGGGGGTAAGGGAAAGAGAAGTGGGAGAGAGGTTTGACATTGCCCCAAACATTTGAGCGGAAAAACAGTGTTTCGTTGCAAGTAACTTTGCTCAATAAGTTTATATAAAGAGAGAGAGACACACAAGCAGCATTTACAATAGTTTGCTTTATCGAAGGACAAAGCAGGAAACAGATAACAATTTCCACTAGTGTCTTGCGGCACGTCAGTATATCAGACTCTAAGCAAAGTTTAATTTCATTTAAGAAACCAAAGAGCAACACAAAAGGATAATTTAGGAGATACCTTAAAATGAACGTTTGGGTGAAATATTTTGGTCAGGAACCGCACTTGAGGAGGTTGCAATGGATACTGCTCTGGAACTGAGAAAGCGAGCTGGAAAACTCCACCATCATAAGGAGTTTCAGATGGCCCCTGTGCACACCATGAATGAGCAGTCAATTAGATCATTAACCAAAGCTTTTTTTGTCTTCTTTTTAGAGGGGGGGTTGGAAGAAAATCATGAAATTGAACATAATAGAGCATATTATAGCAGAGAATACTTTAACAAGAGCCGTCCATTTAAAGATATTAGAATCATCACAAACTAATTGAATATCAGGATCAGCTGTTTTCTCTCTCTGTACTTCTTTGTACTCCTTGAAAAGCCTTGCCCTTGAAGCCTACATCATCAGAGAACCAGGGTTAAATGTTCCAAAAGGTACACAACAATAGAATATTAATTAGGATACAGCTATAAATGTCGAAAGGAGTGACCTACGTCATAAGAGTACTAATTTCTCCACTCTAACATCTTTACTCTAACTAGTTTACACGGTCAATAAAAAGTGCATCCCTTTAATAAATTCGAATGACAAATAAATCCTCTATCTTTTTCAATTGTTTTTTAACTTCTCGTGAAAAATCTGATTTTAAATTGTATATCATATATGCATTCTAATGTCAAAGTTGTATGCCACATTATTGTAATTACATATGTACTTATCTTGCTTGCATGGTGCTAGTTTGCACCAAAGAAACCATATAATTGGTCAGAGTATGAAATTGAATGTGCACAATTAAAAGCAAGTAACAACAAGGAATGACACATACCACTCCCTCTTCCTTCCAGGATTTTTACAAAAAAAAAAGTGTTTGCCAACAAAAATAACGAAATGTTTGAGCTGTAAAGGTATTTTTTCATCTCATGAAAACTTACAGTTACATATTTTTATAAGATAAATATTTTTTTAATGGTGCCCCTTATACCAAAAAGTAGAGAACCTACACCAAAATATGGTTCTCCACAAGAAACCCTATCTTCTATACAACTGGGACCTTATGGGTACACCAAAAGCAAGAGACTACTTTGCAATTTTACAAAATTTTGGTCTACCCCTTCAACTGCTCTCCTATTTCTCCAACTTATTAAAAAATGCTCCTACTTCTCTCTTTCCATATAACCCACATAATGGCTAATACTTCTCTTCCGCCCTCCTAAAGGTCCAACAATGAAACACCTCTTTTTTTGTGCCCCTACATCACCCATTGCCTTTCAAACCAACTAAGGACCATCGAGCACAATAGTGTAGCCACCTTACAATTCAACAAGAGATGATCAACTTTCTTCGCCCACACATCTGCACATGAAGCCCCGACTAACAAAGGTGATCCTCTTCTTAGTTTTCCACAATCAATATCACATCCCTTGCTGCCAACCATATAAAGAAATACACCTTATTGAGCACCCTATGAACCCAAATAGATCGGAGCAGAAATGTAAATTCCTCTCTCAATAACAGGATTTAACAGTGAACACACCGTCCCTATGCTCTCGACATTTTCATAAGTTGGATGTAGTGAGCGGTGCGTTTTGCCCATACTGTTCAACCAGGTTATGAAATTCGCCCAACTCCCATCCTAGAGTACTCCTAAATCTCAAACCCCAATGTTTCCCCAGCATATTACCTATGAATCCGTTGGACTATCAGCTCTTTCTAGTACGAGACTCTATATATATATTAGGGAAAGCATCCAATGTTTAATGAATCCTATAAACACGCCTTCATCAAGACAATTCCTTACTTGACTAATCACTGATTCTCACCACAACTCAAAAGTTACCTGATCACTTTTAACTGCCAAATTCCATCCAAGCTATATCACAAACAACATGACAATATGACCACAAATTCCACAAAAACTAAATCCTCTTATACATTAAGCTAATCACTGATTAAAGCTCCGATATCCTATTATACATCAAACTAATCACTAACTAAAACTCCGATATCCTATTATACATTAAACGAATCACTGACTAAAACTCTGATATCCTATTATACATTGAACTAATCACTGACTAAAACTCCAATATCCTATCCAACAATAACTCCGATATCCTATTACACATTGAACAAATCACCGACTAAAACTCCGATATCCTATTATACATTAAACAAATCACTAACTAAATCTCCCATTCCACAATAATCAACTGCCAATTTGCCAATGATAACAAAAAAACCAATGATAGCAGTTATGGTCCAAAGCCATTAACGAAGAAACATAAGAACCTAAACCCAAAAACCCAAAACCTAGCTACAATAAATACAAACAAACAATTGGGTAATATCAAGATCATCAACCATAAGCAAAACAAGAATAGATTAATAGATCAAGTAAAATGATAACAGAACACAAACCCACAAACCCACAAACCCAAAACCTATTTAACAAACAAAAAATGGAAAATTGAATTATGGGTAATAAATATCAAGAAAAAAGAAGATTTTTTTTTATATAGATCAAGCTAAGAAATAACAGAAACAAGAATCTAAAAATCAAATCTTTAATCAGAAATTTGGTAATAAAAGAGAAGTATTTAAGGGTTACGAACCTGCATCCTTATTGATTCGTCTACAATCAGCACTTCAAAGCTTAAGAAGAACCTAAAAAAAATACAACAGTATATATTGTAAACACAATTAAAACAAAAAAAAAAACTACAAAATTCTCGTAGTAGATATAGAATAAGCTCAAAAAATATCACCTTTTTTGCAGAAATTACAGAAAATCTTCAAAGAGAAATTAGTATTGTTGTTCGTCGGGCACGGATTCCGATGAGTATCAAAATTCACCGAGCAGTCTTAAGTTTTGGATGGAAATATAGGCCTCATGAGGTTTTAGAAATGTCAAAGTTAGTCTTCCAAGTTTTAAATAGTTATGAAATTGACTACTTTATTTGGTTTCTTTTGTGTTTGTCCGGAAAAATCTTTGACTAAATTCAAATACGAGAAATTGTTTTTAAAGAATATCAAATGATAAAACTAATTCCCAAATTGTTTAGTTATATTAGGAGCCATTTGGCCATGATTTTTTTTTTGAATGTGAACTCTTGAAAACATGTTTGACCATAAAATTTAAAATTAAATTCTAGAACAACAAAATTTGATTGCTATAGTCGAGCCTCGACTCTTCCAAAAACAACATCTCTACCTCCACGAGAAAGTGATAAGGTTTGCATACACTCTACCATTCACAAACCCATTCAGTGACCATGAAATTTTTGTTTTTTTTTCACAGTCAACTCTAGAAAACATGTTTAGCCATAAAATTTGAAATTGAATTCCAGATTTTTCAAGAATTTGAGAAACAACAAAAAAATGATTGCTATAGTGAAGTTGAGACTGTCAAAAACATCTCTATCTCGCCGAAGTAGTGTTCAGGTCTACATACACCCTATCCTCCTCAAACCTCACTCGTAGAATTTCACCTTGTGGTGTTGTTGCATATTAGCTTCTTACACATTTTCACTTTATCTTGGCCAATATCTTAAATCAATTGCTTCTTGGTGTTTTACTAAATGGTAGTACCTTAAAATACAATATTTTATGACATGTTGACAAATGTCTAGTGAAAAAAGGTTACTGAAAGAAACTATCAACTTTGATTCAACCAACTGAACCATTCATTACTCCAGGAAGTAGGTTCATCTGTTCAAGTTCAACTATACAAATGAGACATAAAAGAGAAAACTCATTGCAGCAAAATGAGAAATGCACTGAATTTAACAGATCAAAAGGCTTCAAAAAAATAATAAATGAATATATCCTATACATATTCAAGGTAGCAAAAAACGAGAGGTTCCTCAAGTTTCTTTCTTTACGATCTAGTTATTCTCTCTACAAGAAATGTACACAACTCTCATCATCTCGTGAAGAACCATCAAATGCATATGGATGTGTAAATTTGAAAATGAAGAATAGGCAACAGAAGCTTAAGAATCAAATAGAACGTTAGAAGGTGCAAAATTAGTCATTGTCACGTGCTACCAGCACTCCCGGGAGCACCATTGGTTGATTTGAACTTTGAAAGGTCAACTAGGTCCCCAAACAATTTGTCTTGTGGCTTTGAGGGCTTTCCGGGTGGCACATACGAAGGAGTGGGAACTTGATAAGAGCTGTTGTGGACACCATTGTCCCTCATAGAGAGCCCAGACATTCCTTGGTTTAGGAATTGAGTATTTTGTTGTTGAGCATTACCATAACCATAGCTCGCCATTTGGTTGCCATACATTTGCTGGGAATACATATAAGCCATTTGTCCAGGTGGCATTTGTTGTGGATACAAACCCGCAGGTTGTCCACCTTGGAATTGTTGTTGAGGATGCAAGACTTCCATCTGATTGCTTTGCATGACCTGATTGTTCATCATACCTGGCTGTCCACCTTGGAATTGTTGTTGAGGATGCAAGCCCTCCATCTGATTGTTCATCATACCAGGCTGTCCAGCAGTGTTTGGCGAAGCATACATGCCGTGGAGGTATGTACCGCCGGCTAGTTGCTGGCCATTGGCTGCTACAAGCTGATTATTTTGCATTGACATAGCATGTGAACTACCAGGCATCACCTGATTATTGTGCATTGCTAGAGCTTGTGAGCTACCTGGCATCGACGGATTATTTAGCACAGGCTGAGCATGAGGGCTGATCATTATTTGGTTGTCTTCTGCCTCAGTTTCCCACGGAGGAAGGGCAAAAGGATTAGTGCTTTGAGTTCCTATTCAGAAATTGAATGAGCAGAATGAGCAAGGGTCTTAAAACATGAGCAATTCATAGCACCACAGAAATTGAACAAGGAGAGGGTCTTGACACTTCAAAAAGGGTTTTAAACATTAAGCAATTAAGATTTAAGAAGCATATATTCTTAATGTCTTCCCTAATACGACTTCTATCTAGTAGGTCTCTAAATGAGCCAGGCAGACAAAGCACAAAAGGACAAAATTCAAACAAGGCTTCAACACAACATACATATTCTTTTTAAATCGGTCGTGTTGGCTTGTTGGGTTAGCTTACGTGCACCTCGACTAATCCACCAGGCAGTAGTATCCAGCCCCCATATTACCAAGGTACACAACAGGCATATTTCCAAGATACTTCATTTTTGTTTTTTAGCAGGTCCTCAATACTGTAATACAAGTGGAAAGCATGCAGGATAAAATAGGAATCACCGTAGACTGGAGAAGCAGGCTGTTGTTGCTGCGACATCTGTTCGTTCCAGGCAGGAGTGGAGCCTTGAGCGTAGCTCATACCAGGAACACTTCCATTTGGGTACAAAGACGGCTGTACAGGATGAAAATTCTGTTGCTGCTGAACTTGAGGGGATGTAGGATGTGCCTGACCAACTGAATTTGTAGAGGGTGTGGTGCTTGGCTGTGCAAACATGTCAAAAATAGCAAGGGCATTCTGCTGTGAAGGATTTGCTGGCTGAGGTTCTCCAACAGGAACAAGCGCAAGAGCATTCTCAGCTGTTGGTGAGCCAAAGTCAATTCCACTCAGAAGATCTATCATAGGGACAACTTCTGTTGGAGTTGTTGATTGACCATTAGCCGATGGAGGAGCAGGAAGAAGTGTTCCTAAAGCACTTGATGCAGATCTGGATAGCACAACATACATGTTTAAGCAACAACAATAATGTACCCAGTACAATCCTACAAAGTGGGGTCTGGGGAGGGTAAAGTGTACGCAGACCCTTGAGTCGAGGGTCTATCAAAAACAGCTTCTCTATCGGTAAGGTAGAAAGGTAGAGATTTATTTATTTTTGTAAGAAATATTAACTGTCCGACAAATATTCGATAATCTAGGGAATTCATGTCTATTGATTTTAGGTATGAGAATCTGATATCCAAATTTCTCAGATCCTTCTTGAAACCAATACATCAACTCAAAAGTCTTTTTTCAAAAAAAAATTAATACAGGCAAAAGCCCATTTCAAAAGTCAAGTTATTAAGAAAAGGCTAAAAAAAAGGGTACATTAGATTGATAAGAAGAAATAAGAAAGGATTTAAGTACCCTTGGTCTGACTTGTTGCTGGTTCCAGTATCAATAAGAGGGCTATCAACATCTACAAGGGATCTGGCAGGTTCAGATTTTGATGTTTCCCCTTTAGCAGAAGTTCCCGATGAAATGGCTTCATGTTTGGCCAATAAACGCTGTAAGTCATCATTCAGTGCTAGTCCTTGGCATAGCAGTGACTCATCCCTGGATCAGGTAAATGTAAGGTTCACAGGAACCACATATGTGGTGCGTGACAAAGATGGGAGAAGATAGATGACAGATAAAACGTCCATCTTAAATTCAAAATTGTTTTAAAGTTCAATATTTTATAGTAATAAGGCCAGTCTCTGCAATTTACAAGAAGTTAATGAAAAACCCATCTGAGAGAAAAGGTTAACTCAAATTACTTGAATTTTACAGTACATTTAACAACAATAGATGGAGAAATAATATTTAGCCTTCAACTTTTATATCTAGCTAAGAACAAACCCAGGTGAAACATGTAAGAAGCTTCAGCTTTCAAATAAATATTTAGACTGACCCTTAGACTAGAAATAGGAGCATTCTTTAATTACAGGAGTTTAAGGTTAATTTCAGAAATAAGAAGCATATCAAGAAGAAAAAGAAGCACATCAAGATATCTAGAAAAACGTCACGAGAAATGGTCAAGTAAGACAAGGCCTTACGTAGTTGAGTTCACAAGGTGTACCAATCTCTGTTTGTAGGTACGGCATTGTTCCACCAAATCAACAATCACATCTTGTCTGAGTCCCTGTAACCCCACATGCAAATATATTGCATCAAATAAAGAAAGACAGAATTCAATAAAAGTAAACTGAACAAGAATGAAAATATCTTAGAAGGAACAATCCCTTGTTTCAATTTTTTTCTGCTCCAATAGTCCAATTAGCATCTAATTTTAAACATCTAACTTGTTGAATCAAAATATTTGGTCTCAATACTTCAATACACTAGCGAGGGAGCATATCCCTTTAGACATATTATGCATATGGACTTTACCTCTTTGTTTTCAGGACCTAATGCATTCAGCATTTCAGCAAGGACATCCATAATACCACGTGCATTCTGGATCTCCGTCAAGCTAACAATAGAAACATGCAAAAAGGAATCAAAGAAAATTAATTAGAATAGCAATAAACATGCATACATTATCTTTGTAGTGTATTGTTATTCATACTTGTTAATGACGTAAATTTTTCTTACCATTTGTAATTGTAATACAACTGGATACCAACAAGTAACCTAAGAGAAAATCTCATAAAATGTGAAATGGTAGTAGGATCACTAGGTTGTTATCATCTTAAACCTGTTGAAGTCTAATTATACTGCTTTCAGCTTCTTAAGGAAATTCATAAATGAACTCGAAAAAGAGATTTCCCATAGAAATCCATTTTTTAAATCCACACATAGCACATTTTCACGAGTGGCAGAAAAACAAAAGTAATAAACATGCATATGATATCCTTATGGTTTATTTTGTTCACACTTGTTTATGAAGTAAATTGTTCTTACAGTTTGTAACATAATTGAATGAAAACAAAAAACCTAAGAGAAAAACTCATGAAATTGGAAATAGTAATCAAATCGTCAGGTTTTAATTGTACATCTCAAACCTGTCTAAGTCTAGTTTTACCGTTTTTTGGTTCTTAGAAATATTCATAGAACTAACAAGCACTCAGATCAAGATCTAATAATACAGGTCGCAATTCAATGGACATTGCATGCTAGGAAGACCGATGATTTACTAGCAATCAAACTCAGAGGCTATTTGATTTTATTCACCT